CAACATGATGAAGTTTCACTGCTTCTAGAATAACTGGTCTGGTAACGGCAAAATGAAATGACAATTTCCATCACTTACACAGGTTTTTTTTCAAAACATTTGTGAAGCTTCTATAACTTTTCTTGAAAGATAAATTCTGGAAATGTTTTGGAAAGTTCAAGTTTTATTTTAAGCACTCAAGCAGCATGGGTCAAATAGTATATAGTATTGAGATAGCCAAAATAATTTTCAAAGGCAGAAAAATCCCTTACATTCATTGAAATAAAATGTTCCTAAATACTAAATATAATGAAGATATATCAGTCAGTGCAACTTCAAATATAAAACAGACTTCTCTAGAGCCTTAACAAGTTTCTTTTAAAAGGTGATATACAAAGAAATAGAAATACAATTGCCAGGATGAAATCTTTATCCACTGTTTTCTGATCAGATAAAAAGATCTGCTTCCCCATTTCTTAGCATAGAATGAAGAAAAAAGCCTAATCTGTGTTGCTTTCTTCACTTTTTAATTGACTCTGTAAGCAGGCATTCTAAAATAAGGTGTAAATGAGTCTTTCCATGATCACGCTAGCTTAATATAAATAGGAAGGGTATTAAATCACAAATATACAGTGACACAGTTGGCTTCAGGCCCGTCTCCCATTCTTCACAAATCATGCTGCAGCACAATTATATATAGCTGTTTATTTAATTCTCTAAAAGCATGCTCAGACATAGAAAAATGAAGACTAAACCACAGCTTTCCCTTCTCAAATGTGACTGGCATTGTTACACTACTTTTATTTTACTTGTCATAGTAAATGAATTCTGAAAACGCTGCCAATGAGGCTCTTCACTGTCACATTTACAGGCCCTCTCTCAGATCTGAGACGACACACTCCACAGCAGCACTGGCATGACTTGGATGCTAACACTCTGAATACTCTTATTAATCAACTATATAATCCCTGGAAATGTTAGGTTGAGCTATTTCTTTTTCCATTACTTCAGGCAAAAAAAAATCCTTTTGCTATGCAGAACTTGAAAGTGAGATATTCACAGTGAAGGAGAGTCAGAAAGGGCACATGAAAAGTTTTGTAGATGTTGGCTTTCAGTTTTCTTAAAAGCCTGCTGTTCAAAAACTAATTTGGTAAAGAAGAAAAAGGATGTTACCCTTCAGATTTCCTGTGAGAAATATAGCTTTTCCATACAAAGTTAAAACAAGCTTTACCTCCTTGGAATTTGTTTATTTTTGTCCTCCATTTTCCTAGTAGATTTGGTCACAAGCATAAGAAACATGGTCATTAATATTTTGCATAATAGATTGCAAAATATTAATGAGAAGTGATTGGTGACAATGGTAAAGCGAAAGGACATAATTTTCAGACTTTAAAAAGTTAATTTATTATTTAGAAATACATCAACAAATTTGATGGGAAATCATAGAACCATAGTCACAACTGGATTTTTAAAAAGGTGGTTTTGATGTGGAGCCATTTTATCATTTTAATTCTTGAAAACAACAAGTATTCTGTGTGCACATTCCTCTGAGCATTAGGGTATTGACAAACTGTTTAGTCTTTGGCAGTTTATATTTTTATATTTATAAAATTACTATATCAATATTTTATCCAAGGAAGCTTTCTTGCAACATGCAGTATCTGCCAATCCTCTTCAATAACATTAGCTCATTCTGGCAACTGTACGTAATAAAATTTATTACAGCAAATTTGCATAGCAATACACCAGTCTATGCTTGACACACAAGAGTACTGATTAGGTTCGATTTACATCTCCAGTCATCGTTTTGTTGTTTTTAGAACTTATCTCTTCATATCATTGAATGATTTAAGGAACTGAATAAATTACAAGCATATCACTGCCAGACTGAAGTATTTTCTAATTCCAAGTGTTTTTTAAAATGTAATCTGTTATTTGCCCCTTTAGAATTTTAAATACGAGATAATCAAAATAGACCTAGTAAAAAACAGTATCAAGTTTTAATTGACAAAAATGCTGTACATAGTTTTACTCCCTAACCTCTAGAGCACAGAAGCAAAAGCCAGAATAATAACCTAAAATAGCTCCAGCATTTGCATAGCAATCTTACTGATAGCATCATCAGAGTAAGACAAGCAATCAAACTGCAGATTTTTTTTTTTTTCTTTTCCAGGGAAAAAAAAGAACTTCCAACCACTGCAGGAATAATAACAACAGGGTATTTAACTCAAAATAATTGATGTCTTATTTTAATTGCAGTCGTAAATAGCATACAGCTTTAGCCTTAACTACCTAATATATATCAACCCAAGGTTTCTGAAAGTAAAACAAAAACATTACAAATTACTGATGAGGCAAGTAAAATTCTGAGGGAACCAATTTAATGAATCATTAATGATAACAGTGATATTAACTATAGAATAGATGTTTAACCGTTAATTCCTTTAGACATGCGCTACAGAATTACAGCTTATACTGTGAGGGAAAAAAAAACCTGTGAGAGCATCATTGTTCTGCTGCAATACTGAGGACAGTCATTTTGGGAGCTGTGAAGAAAAAATAATGCTCTGAAAAATTTGCTACTCTGCACAGAATTTGAGCTAGCTTAGTAGGTTCTCACTGAATATAAATTAGACTTCTTTCCAGGAGATAAAAGCAGTGTTGGTATAAGCAATGATTGCTCTTTATTTAAAATGGTCCCAGTCTTTGTATATTTATTTAAAGGTTTTTCTTATTCAGTGTTAAAATCATACCATGACATTAGGCAGGTAAAAAATTAAAAAAAAAAGATGAAATGGCAGCTTTACTGTGGAGCATGTTACATCTATGTAGGCATGCCATACATGCCCTATTTTCCAATTTCCAATGTCTAGATTACCTGTGTTCACCTTAACTTAAAATGTCAGGATATCCAAAATAACAGTTTTGATAGTCTTTAATGTGGCTGTAAGATATTCTCTATTGCCTATATTAGATCTTAGTGTGTATTCCAATTTAATAAGCTTTGAGATTTGAACCCCAAACTCTTCTGGCTATTATTTTATATATCAGTTGTAAATACAGTACAACATTAAGTGTACCTTAACACCCAGATATACTTGTCAATATTTAATCATTTATTTTTCATCAGAAAATATGATTTAAATATGATTTATTGACACTGATGGTGTCTGTAGATTTATCCAACTCCAACAGTTACCAAGTGTCCAGGCCTCTTACCTTAGATGCAGAAGAGTCAAATACCAGCAACGTTGGTTGGTTACCTGATATTGAACGGAGATCTTAAAATAATCCTAGTTCAAACAGCAATTTCAGTATGACAAACCTCCATTAAAGTCCCAGAACAAACCAGAATTTTTTGAATCTAGGTTTTCCAGGGTCATAAGTGAATGGTCTCTCCAAACCAGTGATAAAATAGGAGCAAATAATGGACTGTTTCCCATTTAAAATCAAAACAAAACCTGATGACAGGTCTCAACTTGTCCCAAATCAGAACAGGCAAGATTTCTTAAAAAACAGTGAAAATATAAGTAAGAGAAATATTTCTTGGCTAGTAGACCTGAAGGTATAACATGCTTTTAGTCCTGTCCCAAATGGCTTATGTCTCCAAGAGAACAAGGTTTCCCATGTCCTCTACCTGGACTTGGGTAAAGTGTTTGACCCAGTCCCACACGACATCCTTGTCTCTAAATTGGAGAGACATCAATTTGATGGATGGACCACTCGGTGGATAATGAACTGGCTGGATGGTTGCACACAAAGAGTTATGGTCAATGGCTCAATGTCCAGCTGGAGACCAGTAATGAGTGGTGTCCCTCAGGGATCTGTGTTGGGACTGGTCTTGTTTAACATCTTCGTCGCTGACATGGACAGTGGGATTGAGTGAGCCCTCAGCAAGTTTGCCGATGACACCAAGCTGTGTGGTTCGGTTGATATGCTGGAGGGAAGGAATGACATCCAGAGGGACCTCGACACGCTTCTGAGGTGGGTTGATGCCAACCTCATGAAGTTTAACTTTGCCAAGTGCAAGGTCCTACACCCGGGTCAGAGCAATCCCAGGCACAGCTACAGGTTGGGCAGAGAAGTGATTCAGAGCAGCCCTGCAGAGACGGACTTGGGGGTGTTGGTCAATGAGAAAATGAATATGAGCCGGCTTGCAGCGCTTGCAGCTCAGAAAGCCAACTGTATCCTGGGCTGCATCAAAAGGAGCATGACCAGCAGGTCGAAGGAAGTGATCCCGCCCTTCTATTCTGCTCTTGTGAGACCTCACCTGGAGTATTGTGTGCAGTTCTGGTGTCCTCAACATGAAAAGGACATGGAACTGTTGGAACAAGTCCAGAGAAGGGCCATGAGGATGATCAGGGGACTGGAGCACCTCCCATATGAAGATAGGCTGAGAAAGTTGGGGCTGCTCAGCTTGGAGAAAAGAAGGCTGCATGGAGACCTCATAACAGCCTTCCAGTATCTGAAGGGGGCCTATAGGGATGCTGGGGAGGGACTCTTCATTAGGGACTGCAGTGATAGAACAAGTGGTAATGGATTAAAACTTAAACAGGGGAAGTTTAGATTGGATATTAGGAAGAAATTCTTTCCTGTTAGGGTGGTGAGGCACTGGAATGGGTTGCCCAGGGAGGTTGTGAATGCTCCATCCCTGGCAGTGTTCAAGGCCAGGTTGGACAGAGCCTTGAGCATCATGGTTTAGTGTGAGGTGTCCCTGCCCATGGCAGGGGGGTTGAAACTAGACGTTTCTTAAGGTCCTTTCCAACCCTAACTATTCTATGATTCTATGATTCTATGATTCGACTAGTGGAATTAACTGTTCCTAAGTAGCAAGAGTTACTTAATGACTAACCAATATAGGGAACATTTCTAACACTCTATTTTCCTTTGTTATGATTTTTTTCCTAAACAAGAAAAATTAAAGAAATGAAAAAAAAAAAACACAACCAAAAAATAAATATCACAAGGCACGCAAAACATTGAAATTATCATAAGTACAAAAGTTTTTCATAGCCACTTACCCAGGCACTGACACATCTGCCGCAAGTGGTGATTTTGAAATCCCCATAGAGATCCTTGATGGCACCAGTTGTAAAGAATCCCTCCACCATCAGCAAAATACCATATACAAAGAATGCAGCTGCTACACCGTATATCACATACTTGAAGATGTCAATCCTGTATAGAAACAGGAAAAATTATTGAGCTGCATAAATATTTAAAAACGACTGAAATTTCAGGGTGAGATAATAGGACCAACTGAGCCTCAAAGTTTCTATGCTGGAGACATCTGAAGTGCTGATGTGCTATAATGATAGCTGAAGCTGAGGACAAGAGTGAACTCTGGAATAAAATAGCATTGATACAGGAAACAATGGGTCATTTAATTTAATAATATGTAAAAATGGATCTGTGTAGGTAAGACAGCATAATTTTTCAGAATAAGTAGAATTCAGTTAATTTTTATTTTATTTGCTCTCTAAAGTTGCAAAGAAAAAAAAAGGGAAACAATCATCCGATACATCTCCTGAGTAACACGATGTAGGCAGCACTGCATCCAGCACATCGTTTCCTGTTATAGAAAAGATATTTTGTCACAAAATTCAATACACCTTTCTACATACACAAGTAGTTATCAAGCTGTAATGCCAGTCTTCTCCTCATCAATATTTTTCCACTTATATTCCAATGAAAAAAAGTGTCTGACGCAGGATAATAGTCATCAAGAGATATCCCTAGCTTTAAACCAGAAACATGTTATTCCAAAAGTCATAAGGTCAGATCATGTGGCATTATTTTATAATCAAACTTCAAAAGCATCATTTCACAGACCCAAAGCTCAAGAAATAGAAGGATGACTTACAGTGCAACATGTTGAGCCCTACAAGGCTCCACTTATTACATAGAAGATTAACTGGATTATGTGGCTGTCCTGTGTGGCTATGTGGGCTATGTCCACTGTCCAGAAGTCCAATAGTGGCGTAAGGAGTGTCTGCCCCCCAGATGTTATCTCATAACCAGGGTTTATGAAAAGACATTCGAAAGAACCTCTCTGCTCTAAATGTTTTGTCTAAACATAGAAACATTCCTAGTGAACATTGCCTGGGGTCAGCAGGTTTCAATGTTTCTTTCTTGGATTTCCCTTAAAAACTAGCCACAATAAACTTCGAGTTTATCAATATGGCACTGCAGAAGTCATGCAGCTCCTTAGAAAATGGTAAATAATTTGCAGGTCTAAGATATTAGTAAGTTCCAGTCACACTGTTCAGGTCAAGACAGCGACAGCTCCTAACAACATAGGACAAAAACATAAGCCAGAGACCCATTAGTATCTACAAGAAGAATTTTGACATGCACCAAACAACTACCCAAACTGCATATTATTCAAGAAAAACAAAATTGTTATGAAAAGAAATATCTAATGATAATATTTATTTAGCATTACCTTTTTCATCACCACCCAAAAGGCAGCTCTCAATACATTTTATATATACAATCCAGTAACAAAGCTCAAAACCCCACTAAAATATCTTTGAGTTTGGATGGTTTTCAAGCATTTCAGATTAGAATTTACAGCTGATATTTCAGATGTATGACAGTGTCTACATCTTAACTGAATGTATTTTAAGATTCCTTTAGTCTCTTAAAAACACAGTTAAACTTATGACCTGATTGGGAGTGGAAGAATCATTATAAAGTAATGCTTTGGGCACCTATTGTATCATTATTTTTTTCACAAGGGTGTAACTGAAGGGTTCTGGGAATGAGACAGGATATGATTTTTCACAGCATTCCATTGACAAAGTCCTCTCAGCTTTTCTCTACATCACTTTTTATTTCATATTCAAGTGAAAATGAGGGTAAGTTGGTATCTGTGTAGAATAGATGCGTGGATATTCAAAGTGATGAAGCAAATTTAACACTGTAGCAATACTAGATGATGCAAAGATGATATTTATTTTAATGCATAAGACTGCTGATTACGTTTTAAAAATCCTATTTCTCTAATTTTATAGTAATTCAGCCAGTGTAACACTGTTTTAATATGAAAATGGTGGTCTGAGCCTATCTTGTAGTTACTGAAGAAAAAATAAATTTACAATAAACAGTCAGCAACTTTGTGACTATTCCATAAGATCTCTTCCAATTCTTACATTATATATCTTATAAAATTGTGACCTCCACCAGCACTGAAGGGTGGGGGTTCTGCCAGCAGCAGCTTCTCACAGACCTCTGTGGGCTAAGTGCTGTAGAAATTACAAGCTATCATTGCCCTAAAGAGATTAAGACTTTGGGAAAATCCAGAGACTATTTCAGCCCTTGCAACAGCCCTTTAAACCATCTGTCCTGAGCCTCCCACTGAGCTGCTTGTATCAAAAAGTGTACTGAAAGATCTCTGCTTTTTCTTCCACCTTATGTGTAACCAAAGGCATACCTTTTCCTTAAACCTTCCTTTCTAAAAGAAAAATATATATAGCTACACACTCGTCAAATATAGAAAACATTTTCTTCTTCATACACACTCTACAGAGAAAAGTGTTAAAATCTCTGCTGATCAGACTACATGAGATGAAATAGTCAGACTTACTCCAAGGAGAAATGATATTGTATAATGCAAAGAGTAAAAATAAAAATTGTGAAACAATCATTCAACTGCCTCTTTACAAGTCAGATAGAATTTTATTGAAATATAACTACTTTTAGAGTGTGCTAAACAACATTACTACTACAATAACAGTACTACAACAGTAATATTTTTATATATGTATAGTTTTGAAGATAGTGGTGGTATAAAATTATTCTGCAGCATCTCATAAATTTCACATAACCTTTGACTTTCCAATAAAATTCTAATAAATTTTAGGTCTTGTAAATTGGAAATTGTCTTTCTTTAAAATAAGGTTTGATTCCTCCTGGATGAACCCAGGGCAATTAATTGCCATCTGTGTTTCCGCAAATTCTCAAATGCTGCAGACAATGTATGAGAACATGAGACTGAAGGGAAAGACAGAAGGGATGATGAACATGTGCCAATAGATGAGATGGGTAAGGACAAAGAAAAAGGACAAGCAAGGCTTACACATGTGTAGGCTGGAATGGAAGGAAAAGGGTGGGCAAGAAGCAAAGGAAAAAGAGACAAAATTATAAAGATAAATTTTGTACTGTTGACAGGATTGGAAAGAGATCTAGTAGATGAAGATTAAAGTTACACTAAATGAGAAGAACAAAAAGAAATCTTGAATGCTTATTCAGTAAATGTAGTACTCCTATTAATATTATATGATACATACAATGATATAATTAAAGCCATGGAACATTTCTATTAAAAGGCAATCAATGAAGATTGTGAAGATCTCAACAAATTTGCATTGATCATGCAATTTTCACATAAATTGCTGAGTAGCATAAGCTGAATGATTATCTAATTCCCAATTTAATTGGGAAAATCACATCTTGAAATTAGTAAAACACTTTTTTCTTTTTTTTTTAATAGAATAATCTCAGACATAATTTCCATGCTGTCTTAATCTTGTAGATGCTCCCTGGGTTCCAGATTTACTTTTTCCTCACTACACTGTATTCAGAAATGTTAGAAAAATAAACATCACTGTTTTCAATTTGCGACTTAAATCAAGCTGATCTTTCAATTTTTAGTCTTTTTCTGCTGCTGCGTCTTTAATTATTCCATATTAAGCAGACTTCCTAATTCATTCATCAGAATCTGGATTCTATCCAACAAGATGAATATTAAAATAGCCCTAAAGAAAACACTTCTACTGGCAGAAGTTACTGATGGAAGCTGTCAATGCTAGCATCTCAATGAACAGGTTGTAGTTGAGCAATGAGTAGACTATTCCAGCAGAGACAACTTAGAGGTGAATAAAAACATTCTCAGTGAGTCAGGTCAATGTTGCAGACTTCCTACCGTGTATTTTATTAGGTTAAATGGTTTAGTGTGAGGTGTCCCTTCCCATGGCAGGGGGGTGGAACTAGATGATCTTAAGGTCCTTTCCAACCCTAACTATTCTATGGTTCTATGATTCTATGATTTTCACTGTGCTTTGGCAAATGCAAGGATTAAAAAGTAAAATAAATCAGCACGCAATAAGATTAATTGCAGAATGATCAGGTCGATATGTAGCAGGCTTTCGTCAAAAATGTGTTATAACAAATTAAGTTATTTTGCTGTTATTGAGACTCCTTCAACCATCTGAGATAATAATTATTACAGCCTGTTTTGAAATTATTTCAATATTCATAATTAGTTCCTGTTAACTGCATCTAGAAGTAATAATGTTTTAGTCTTGTGGAAAAAATAACTTCACTGGAATAAATCTTTACTGTTCCAGCATAATAAATGGATCTACTACCCCAACATAGAAGCCAAGAAGAACTGTTAACATTGGCCCATTATATTCTACTGTGTCCTAAAACGACATGCAAACTGTAAGAACCTTGAAGCATTACACTAATCACTCTAATCATGGTACACTTTCTACCCTCAAGTTTGAAGGTTGGTACTCAGCTAATATACAATGACATATTTTTTGATCAAAACTACTTGATATTTCTCTGGAGCAACCTACATACTAGCTAGGGATATTTTTAATTTGGTTAACATAAGAATGCATTGCAGACCTTTGTTGGCAGTTAACAGCAGCAAAACCCACCACATTAGTTTGCCTTGTGGCAGGTGATTCCCATGCTGTCCAGAAAACCTTTTAATACAATTAGAGTACGCATAGGCTTCAGCCTGAACAAGTAATATAATCCTAATCTTACAGAGATTTTGTTTGGCCTAGCCAGAGTAATACTTATTACTGTGGAACTAGTTTTCCAGCATTTATAATTCTGCCTCACATTTATTTTCCTAAATTTATAACTTCTCCAATATAGACATAGACATTCAGAAACTACAGTTGCTGAATAGCAGATAATTGCCAGTAAGTGTACCTACACTCTCTGAACGCAAGTAGATTAAGGCAATTATATATATTTTCAAACAAAAAAAAACAAAAAACCCAAACAAAAAATCACACATAAAATAAGGGAAATAAAATACTAAGCTATCAAAGTGCTAAAAAAAGTTTGTGATATTATCATAGTACAATTTGTAATTAAGAATTGCCTTTTTTTACAGCTGGCATAGGCAATTTAGAAACATGACAAATTCACAT